CATGTACGTGTTGAGCGTAGTAGTGTATCTTTATGTTTCCCGTGTCATGTGTTTTCATTGGTTGTACTGAATTTAAGTTATGTTAGGTTTTCTATGTTTGTGTTTGTGTTGTAGTGTTAAAATAAAATTGTTGTTCAAATTGTGTTAAAATAAAATTCTTGTTATTATTTACATAATATATTATTTAAGTGATCAATGTGTCTCACAACCTGTGTGTTTCAATGTAGCTGCTGGCCTGAGGCGCATCCCCTATCGCCCGGGTACACTATCAGAATCATCATCATCACGTCGCCTCTTTATATGAGGATGCGCCGCAGCATGATCGACCATAGGGCTGGCATGATCGGTAGAAGGGGTCGCCGGTCCGTCAGCAACCTACAAAATAATTATTAAGCTTAGTATATGAAAATGTATATTAGTAATGTACGTGTTAAGTCAAAAATATTTTCTTACCATGGTCTCGTCAGGCTCCTGAATATAAGCATATGTGGTGTCCTTATCATCACATAAAGTGGCCTCCGTGGTGGGCTGGGATGAAGCCTTAATAATAAAATAAAAAATTAATTTATAGCAAATCATTGAGAAAAAAACAAATTAAAATTTAATAGTAATACAAACATACCTGCGCCTGTGATAGATCCGCCTCACCCGACGACGATGAGCCAAAACTCAACCTGCGCCCACCATCCGGGTCTCGGGTCGACCGAACCTCAGCTGCGGTCGATGGGCCTAAAAAGAATTGCTCTATATCTGCGGTGAAGCTCATGTCCGTGATCAACAATGGATTTGACGGGGTCACATGCGATTTGGCAGCTCCAACTGAAGGATGTAAGATGGCATGCTTCTGGAAGGCTCGTCTTGCTGAGGGATGTAACCCGACTGATCATCTCCAAGATCCTCATCAGGTGCCTCAACGCCCCCTTGATGGGGACCACCTCCTTGCTGTCCCCCACGACCCCGTGGGGCAGCCCTGGCTCGTGCCCGTTCCCTCGGGCGTGCGACAGGCCTACCCTGATGGTGGTGCTCTAGCGCCACATAATCAGCATTGTGATCTAACCTCTCGCCCTCTATGGCTCACTGTAGTGTCCGGAGAGCCAGCTCTATGACCTGCCGGCCATACTCAATGACTGCAGGATTGTCGGCATACTGATGCATCTGCAGTCCCAACTGGTAGAATAAATGACGATCAATAGCCTGTACAACATTTAAAATATTAATTACAGAACGCTATATCACATTTATAAGTATGGGTTCCAAGAAAACATGCCAGTGCCTCATGCCTCCCGGCGTATGGTCTGTACCGACCACCAGCTTGATGAGCGGGGTTACCAATCATCAGTCGGGTAATGCGGCGGTACCAGGACGTATACATCTAAATAGTCGCCGCCTGGATCTGTGAAGATAGGGGCGGAATCAGGTCCCCTCGCTCGTCCCAAGTATGGACCTGCGCCTCTAGCCATGCTACAAATGCGTCGTCCACCCTCGAATGATCATCCCGCTGATAATGTAAAGCCTCCCATGTAAGTCCCCTCGGTATAGTCTACGGACGACCAAACTGGCAAAGTACCCACTCTGTAGCATGATGCTCTACAACATCGAGGCATATCAGTGGGACAGAAGTGCTCCAAATTAGTCGGCTGGCCGAGCAATAATCGGACAGGCCAGCTATCAAGTCGTCGTTGTATGACGTCCAGATGAACTATCAAACAATAACATAAAAGTGAGTATATTTGAGTCCACAAGTGAATTTATAACAAGTAATTTTAGGTACATATTTACCTTGCGGCCTCCAGCATATCCAACACATCCCTGACAAGAGGGAGATTATGGTGAGCATCAATGGCTCGGTAATTTCCATGTCGGAGAACCCACCTCCTAGCTAGAGGGAGAAACGAAGCTGCTACATCAGGAGATAATGGTGGTAGAGGTGGCTGCAACGGCAGGAACCGTTCCAAGCCCAAACCTAACATACAAGGTTGATGTAATGTTTAAGAGTCATTTTGACTATATAGAATTGGAAGTAATGAAAAGAGTATTTGAATATGTTGTCACCTGTAAAAGCGGCAGAAAACCATATACGTCGCTCTGGGTGCCCATGCTTGCCCGGCACATACCCCTGTACATGTTAGCGAGAATAGCAGCACCCTAGTTGTACTGGGGTAACTCATCTAGTTGCTGAAGATGATGTAGAAATCACATACTCACTAGATTTACCGAAGTGTTCGGGAATAAGACACCCCCAAAAAGAAGGAGCAGCGCCAACCTCGTATTCCGGTAAATATGTAGATCATCTGTCTCGCCGGTGATGTCGGGGTGCAATACCTCCAAATGTTGTCTAATAGCTGTCACAGAAATGCGACTGCCCCATGAAGCTGCAGCCTCACCCTGTGGCCTGAAACTAGTGAACTGCTGCAGCAAGTCCAAATACTGGGCACGCGGCATAGATCTCATATACTGAGGCAGTGCAACAGCCAGTCCATCAGCAAGCAGCCCATATAAAACCTGAACATCCTGAAGCGTGATGTTGGCCTCACCAATGGGTAGGTGGAAAGTGTGCATCTCCGGCTGCCACCGCTCTATCAAGGCCGTGATCAGAGACCAGTCGAGCTGCAACCGCCCAATCTGAAAAATCCTATGGAAGCCCGCATCACGCAGGCGCTCAACTACACAGGGATGAAAATCTTTGCCCCTTATAAAGTCTCACACGTCGTCCACTCTCCTGGCGCGGAGAGTCTGCTCGACTAGCTCTCCCGCCCATACATAGACGGACCTATGATCGCCCCATAACACTAATATCTCATCCGAGAAAGGTCCAGGATGCACAGGCGGCACGTCCATGTCGTCTACTGTAAATTAAACAATATTAATTGTGTGTTTGTGTTATAATAATTAATAATTAATTATTTAATTGGACAGAGTATATATCTATGGATTCCAGGCTCGATATTTGAGTTCCGGTAGCACCAAGCTATCCTGATTCTTATGTGTGTCAATTTCAATATAAATCATAATTTTGTTTGTGTTATAATAATTAATATTTAATTATTTAATTGGACATAGTATATATTTATGAGTTCCAGGCTTGATATTTGAGGCCCAGTAGCACAAAGCTATCCTGAATTCTTATGTGTGTCAATTTCAATATTTTTAGAATTTTGTTAGTTTTATAAATTAAATAATTAATTTTTAATTGGACAACATATATATCTATGAGTTCGAAGCTCGATATTTGAGGCCGCGTAGCCCCAAGCTTTCCTTAATTCTTATGTGTGTCAATTTTCAATATTTTTCATAATTTTGTGTGTTTGTTTTGAAAATTAAATAATTAATTTTTAATTGGATAGAGTATATACCTGAATTCTTATGTGTGTCAATTTTAATATTTTTCATAATTATGTGTGTTTGTTTTATAAATTAAATAATTAATTTTTATAAATTATAATTAGACAGAGTTTATAGTTAGTAGATACTTAAACTACAGAGATTCTACGCTAAAAGGCTCAACTTTACTACGCTAAAAGGCTCTATATTTTACTACGCTAAAAAACTCTATATTCTACTACGCTATAAGGCTCTATATTTTACTACGCTATAAGGGCACCAGTCTTTAACCAAATAAATAATCTAAACTAAATAAAAATGACAAACATATTTTAATAATATAACATTCACGAAATTACATATAAAACAGTAAAAGAAATTTATGAACATTTTTATTAACAAGAAAAACTATTTCTCAACTTTTAACTATTTTTTTAAACACTAATAATTTAATCCGGATTAAAGTAACATACTAATTTAATCGCAAACAAAATATAAAACAATATGGAAATACATTCAATACAACTAATATGCATTATTATACGAGTTTCAACATAAACTAAATCGGAATACCTCGATTTATGTTTTTAGAAAACTCGAAAAATTGAAATTTTGAGCCTGAAAGGAGGAAACCACAACAATAGAAGGCTTGGATTGTATGCGGGACCTACAATCTTAACTTTTTGTGTGACGGGTGGGCTCCACTCGGATTTTTTTTTGGAGAAAAAGGGGGGGACCGCTGATTTTTTTTTTTAAAATGGAGGGGGTCGTTTCTGTTTCTGTCATGGGGAAGAAGAAGGGCGTTTTATTTTAATAGGTAAAATGCGGTATTATACCGCACTTTTCTATATAAAACGCGATATATATCGCGTTTTATATAGAAAAGTAACTTTTTTAAAAAAAACTGTAAAAACGTGTTTTGAGTCCAAAATATTGGCATTTAGGTTTCGGACATCCTCCTCTACATGTCAATTTACAAACAACATTTCAAAGGTATTAACTAAAAAACAATTCATTTTGGGTCATTGATTTCGCCCATGTCAAATCTCATCAATTCACAATATATTCAGATTATCCGTAGTTTCAATATATAATCTCCAGCGTCGAAAGTCCATTATAGTCACCAAATAACCTCTACTTCCATAAATCCTTGTGGGGAGGAGAGGAGAATCAGGTGCCATGAATTTTCTAAGCTCAAATAAAGCCAAATATTGTAGTGATTAGCATATAGCAACTAAAATAGTGTTAGACATTATAGGTCGTATGAGATACAATACATAATATTTTTACTTTATATATTAAAATTAAAATTTGGGACTTAGGGTTTTACTTCATATTTTTTTTATTCACGAGAGTCGAACACGAGAGATTCATTAAGGACGAAGAGATTTTTTCCCTCACGCTATAATATTGTTATTACATGCAAATAATTTTATTGATTGCTGCATTTTTTATTATTACTTTACTTTACTATATTATAGAAGAGCAATGGTTTCGACATGCCTACTTCCTGTCATTAACAATACATTATAGCTAAGGGTATTTTCGACTTTACATAATATCTAAGAGAGGTGTCCTTCGTCCCAAACTAAAAGGCCACGTGTCAATTATTTTACGCCTTCTTTATCAATTTTACGCCTTTCATCTGCCTTTTTCAATTGCTTTGCTCCAATGTAACCAATGCTGATCATTTTTATCCCCGATACTGTTGCTTACCCCTTTCTCTCTCAATTCTTCCCTTATTTTTCTTTTTTCTTTTTGGGTCTTTAAATGATCTTTGCATATCTCCATCTGATTTCTGCTTCAGCAGTCAAAGATTATACTTTTCTATATGTTTTACAGAAGAAAAGTTTGATTCGAGTATTGTTGTTTCTTTCGTATTTCTTATAATAGGTTTAAAATACTCAAATTAAAAATAATTGTTTTGAATGTTGAAGGAAGATCGGGCATTATTAACAGATGAGATAATTTTGTAGTTGCTTCTATTGAATAAATTTCAGGAGAAGACTCTAACATGATAATGAATTTATTTGAGATTTTGAGGGGGGTTTCAGTTAAGGTGCATCTCATACCTCGAAAGACCAAATGCAATATTATTATTTTCTTAGATAGAGGCTTAGGTCAATACATTACATTACATTTGTCTTCTTCTCTTAAAACTTTTAGAAGTCGTGAATGGTGCTTTTACTCTCATGAGTTCAAAAAAGATAACACATCTTATGAACTGCAAAAATATTACATTGGATGTTTGGCTTTGTTTGAGTGAAATAGGGGAAGAAAGTGAAAACATTAACACGTTACAGAGCAAAGTGAGTAAAAAGTGTTTCTATAGATTCTTGATTTTTTTACTTTCCTTCTTTCAATTATTACATTCTGAGCACTCTTTTTGTTTATGTCTCGAATTTTTCTTCTTTTAGAAGGGCATAGAGGTCCCAATTCCTTGCTTAGCTCATTATCCGACTCAATTACTCACTCAACTATCCCAAATTATTTCTTGAAGTCTATAGAAGAGAGTAGTGTCACATGACAGTCACGTGACTGAGTAGTTAGCTGTAACTAATTATTGGATTGGCGGTTATGTAGTTAGTGGAGAAGTAAGTTTGATTAGTGTATCAGTGTATATAAATAGTGGATAGCATTGTATTGATTGAATACAATCAATGAGAAGAGCTCAGTTCATTTGCTCTCTATGAAATTCTCTTTCTAGAATTTTCTCCTTCATCAGTTCTTCATCATAGATCGAGCTAATTCTCGATCTTCATCATGGTATTAGAGCACGAGAGCTAGATGCATGCTCACTGTGATTGATTCTCTCAGTTTTACAGATCAATTCTAAGGTTGTTGATTGCCCGAACTTTCATCGATCAGTTGACCTAAAATTCTTTTTTCTTCTGATTTGCAACTGGTGAATCTGCAATTTGTTGAATCAAAGATTAATTCAGCTGAACTTGTCAACCATGGCGATTGAAGAAGATAACTCTATTGCTATTGGAACGAGTGCTGGAGTAATCATAGATCATCATCATCCTCTGTATTTACAGCCTTGTGACACTCCATGTAGTTCTTTGATCTCTATTCAATTGACTGGATCTGAAAATTATGCGTTGTGGAGCATATCTATGAAAATAGGTCTAATTGGTAAAAGTAAGCTAGGATTTGTTGACAGTCGTTGCACTAAAGATAAATTTGGTCGATCCTTACATGAGCTTTGGGAGAAATGCAATGCGATAGTCCTATCGTGGATCATGAATGCAGTAAGTAGTGACCTACTTAGTGGAATTGTGTATAAATCTAGTGCTCACAAAGTTTGGACTGATTTGAAGGATAAATTTGATAAGGTAGATGGATCTCGTATTTTCTATTTGCACAAGGAGATTGCTACTCGATCGCAGGGGATCTCCTTAGTGTCTGCTTATTTTTCAAACTAACAGATCTCTGGGAAGAATATGATGCATTAATGCCTTGCCCTGGGTGAGACTGCCCAGAATCCAAAAGCTATTCTGAGCATTTTGAGTATCAAAGGCTTTTACAGTTTCTAATGGGGTTAAATGAAACATATAGTCAACATAGGAGTCAGATTTTGATGATGAGCCCAGTTCCTTCAGTAAACAAGGCCTACTCCATGGTAGTTTCTGAAGAAAGCCAAAGAGCCTTGGGAAAATTTTCTCAGTCTGTAGCCTAGGAGATGGTACAACATTATTCACAAACAGAGGAACAAATTCAGAAAATAATTATAAGTCTAGGAGAGGAAATCTATTCTGTGACTATTGTAATTTCAAAGGGTATACAAGAGAAAATTGCTACAAGTTGCATTGATATCCAACTGATTTTAAAGCAAGAAAGAGAGCAACAGGTTTTCCTCAAAAACATATGGCTAATGCAACAACACATGAAGGGCAGCAGACAATAACAAAGCAGTTTACTACTGCAACTTCACAGGAGGGACAACAAGCAATGAATGCATCTACTGCAAGTCCAGCACAGGGAATGCCAATTACATTTACACAGGAACAATATGATCAAATATTGAAGCTGATCAACAAGGTCACATGTGAAAATTCAGGTTTTGTAGGTACAACTAAGGCCTTTATTACCAATGAAAATATTAACAATGAAAAGTGGATAGTGGATCTGGTACGACCAATCATATGGTTCACACTAAAGAGCTACTTGACAAAATAAATAATGAGATTCTAGGCAATGCACCAAAGGTATATTTACCTGATGGAACTTCTCTTGATGTTGAGTGCACTGGAGAAAGTAAAATTGGTGAGAACTGTGTTGTTAGGAATGTGCTATATGTTCCCAGTTTTAAATATAACATGTTGTCTGTATCCAAACTTACAAGAGACTTGAGATGCTTTGTTTCCTTTTATCCTGATTTTTGGATAATGCAGGACCTTTACAGTGGGAAGGTGAAGGGGATTGGTAAGGAGTTGGGAGGTTTGTACAAGTTGCAGCATCAGAAACTGAAAGCTAAAGCTGCAAATGTGCAAATTCAAGATCATTCTGTACAGGAGGAAGATTTGAGAATATGGCATGGAAGGCTTGGACATGCCCTAGACAGAGTTGTGAAGCAGATTCCAAACATGAAGTTAAACCCGCTAGAGATGGAATAAAGGAATGTACAATTTGTCCTTTGGCTGGACAAGGGAGATTGCCTTTCCCTAAGAGTATAAGTAGATCAGATAAACTTTTTCAAATGATTCATGTAGATGTTTGGGTCCCATATAGAATACAAACTCATAGTGGACATAGATTCTTCCTTACTATAGTAGATGACTGCAGTAGAATGACCTGGATTTACTTACTGAGGCTTAAAAGTGATGTGGTTGTATGCTTGAAACAGTTTTTAGCATTAATAAATACTCAGTTTGATGTGACTGTGAAAGTATTAAGGAGTGATAATGGATCTGAGTTCTTTAATTCTGAATGCAACAATCTATTTCAGTCTTACGGAATCCTTCATCAAAGTTCTTGTGTTCACACTCCACAACAAAATGGAGTAGTGGAGAGGAAACATAGACATATATTGGAAGTGGCTAGAGCCATTAGTCTACAAGGTTTTTTGCCTCTGAAGTTCTGGGGGAATGTGTACAAGCTGCTGTCTATATGAATGGGTTGCCTTTATCAGTGTTATCAGGCAAATCATCTTTTGAGATAGTGTATGGCAGAGTGCTATCTTTACAACATATGAGGACCATTGGTTGTCTGTGTTTTGCTAAGTCGGTAGGGGAAGGAGACAAGTTTGCAGGTAGATCAATTGGAGCTGTCCTAATGGGGTACTCATCATCCTAGAAGGGGTACAAACTGTATAATATCTTAACCAATTCTTTTTTTGTAAGCAGGGATGTCAAGTTTATGGAGCATGTTTTTCCCTTCCAATTGCTCAACGAAGGAAAATTGCAGTTATTTCCCAATGGTGTACTGGATTTTCTATTCACTAATGATGCAGGTTCACTTCAGGGTGCAAATGGTCCAGACCAAGCTACATAACCGGATGACACTTTAATCCAAGCAGATGCAGATAATCATGGTGAAGAAATGCAAATTCCATCACCAGACTCTTTGTCTCTTGAAGACATACAGCATCAGCAACACATTTCTTTAGAACAAGAGACATCTAACCATAATGAGCACCAGTTGAGAAATTCAACCAGAACTGCTAAGGAACCTTTGTGGATGCAAGACTATTTTGCAATAGTTCCCTAACGAAGTCAGAAGGCAAGCAAGTTTGCAGATATCCAATGCAGGACTACTTGACACATACCAGGTTATCTAGTAAGTTTCATGCCTATATGTCCAAAATCACCAGTACAAGAGAGCATATGAATTATGAAGAAGCTGCATCAGACTCCAAATGGATGGAGGCCATGAATCAAGAACTGAAGGCACTCAAGGATAATAGAACGTGGAGCTTGGTTGACCTACTAGCAGGGAAGACACCTATTGGATGCAAGTGGGTGTTCAAGATAAAATACAAAGCCAATGGGGAGGTTGAAAGATACAAGGCACGACTAGTTGCTAAAGGATATAATCAAATAGCAGGTCTAGACTATCAGAAAACATTTTCCCCTGTAGTCAAGGTGGTGACAGTAAGAGTAGTCATAACTTTAGCTGCTGCTAACAGATGGAATCTATATCAGATGGATGTGTATAATGCCTTTTTACAAGGCGACCTCACTGAAGAAGTCTATATGTGTTTGCCACAGGGATTTCCCAGCCAGGTGGAGAAAGTATGTAGGCTGCATAAATCCCTATATGGCCTAAAGCAGGCCTCAAGACAGTGGAATCTAAAACTGACTGAGGCACTGATCAACTCAGGTTTTGTGCAGTCACTTTGATTATTCCCTATTCACAAAGAAGCAAGGGACAAAGCTAGTAATTGTACTGTGTATGTAGATGATCTCCTGATTACTATGAATGATCAAGGGTTAATCTCTGAGGCCAAGAGTATGTTGCAAAGTAATTTCAAGATCAAGGATCTAGGGGAATTGAAGTTCTTCCTTGGAATAGAGATAGCAAGATCCAAGAAGGGAATATTAATGAATCAAAGGAAATTTGTTGTAGAACTTATCACTGATCTTGGACTGTCAGGGTCAAAACCAGTAACTACAACAATGGAGTGTAATCAAAGGTTCACAACTGTAGAATATGATCAATGTGTGAACTCTAAAGAAGATGAGAAGTTGGGAGATCCAGGTCCTTATCAGAGGTTAGTAGAAAAGTTGTTGTACCTCACCATGACTCGACCAGACATATGCTATGTAGTTCATGTACTGAGCCAATTCATGAATTGTCCAAATAAGTCTCATATAGAAGCATCTATAAGGGTTGTCAAGTACATCAAAGGAGCTCCAGGTTTGGGCTTGTTAATGAGCTCAGAACAGTCTGCTAAGTTGACAGCATTTTGTGATGCAGATTGGGCATCATGTCCAATCTCCAGGAGATCTGTAACAGGCTATGTGATGAAATTGGGAAGTTCATTAGTGTCATGGAAGTCCAAGAAGCAATGTACAGTATCAAGGAGTTCAGCAGAGGCAGAATATAGGAGCATGGCAGCAGGAGTTGCAGAAATTTCATGGTTGACAGGACTTTGTAAAGAACTAGGAGCAGAAGTTGAGCTACCAGTTGAGCTGCACTGTGACAGTAAAGCAACAATTTAAATTGCTGCGAATCCCATATTTCACAATCATACAAAGCACATAGAGATAGACTTGCACTTCATAAAAGAGAAAATACAACAAGGAATTGTCAATACTTTAAGAAAATACAACAAGGAATTGTCAAGACAAAGTACGTAATGTCAAAGGATCAAGAGGCATACTTATTCACAAAGGCACTAGGAAGATCACAGTTAGGAGTGCTCAATCTATTTGCACCACCTAGCTTGGGGGGGGGGGGGNTTAGCTATAACTAATTATTGGATTGGCGATTATGTAGTTAGTGGAGAAGTAAGTTTGATTAGTGTATATAAATTGTGGATAACATTGTATTGATTGAATACAATCAATGAGAAGAGTTCAGTAAATGGTCTCTATGAAATTCTCTTTCTAGAATCTTCTCCTATTTGTAACAACAAAGTCACCGAACTATGCCTATTGCACTCAGAAGGTCATGCAATTAGATTTTTCAAATTTTTGAATTGCCAAATACTTATTTTACCCTCTAAATTATAAATATTATTATGTCTCTACCAATTTTCCGACGACATAAAGTTATATCACCGGAAAGCATGGGACTATCTGTATAAGGTAAAATGTGTTATGTTAAGTTGTGCATGGAATATATAACATATTTGAGTATAATTTTCAAAAATATATAACCTATATTAAATACTCTTATTTAAATAATTATTTTTATATTATGTGCATCGAATATATATTTTACAACCTTTATTTTCTTTCATTCTGAATTGTGTAAATAAATTTTTGAATTTTTGTTGTTAATACTAAAATTATTGTTACTTCTAATTAATTTTTTTACTATGCTCGTTATTTTATTATTCCAACATTATGTATGCTTAAATACTTTTTATTTTTTAAATTTATAAATAATATTTATTTAATCTATAGGTAAGTCCATAATATAAATTAAAAAGGGAAAAATTATAATATTAAAAAGTTTATAAGGAACACTTACTCAGTTTTTGTGCGTTATTTCTATATCTATCATTTGGTACATTGCACGGGAGCCTGAATTTCATAGGCTCAAGTTTATGTTGTGTTATAAAAAGTAAAAAGACGGAATTATGTTACAAATACCAATTTGACGACTTGTTAATGATGACCATTCTACATATAATGTAGTTAATGGCATCCTTATTAAGAATAACATATTGGTAACAAAGTGTTATTTGGCCAATATGATCATGAAACAGAGGTAACTTCAATGAAGGAGTGTTCAATTGCTGAATTATTCACTACTGCTGATGCTGGATAGATATTAAAGGGTGATGCTCTTGTTTGCCGTATAATTTTGGTAGTTCGCTATCTTGACTCTAGCTCCTTTCATCCATGATTTCTTTTTCTGTTAGCCTGAGTTGTAGCTTAGCAATTTCCTATTGTTGCTGACTTCTCCAACAGTTTCGAGCACATTTGAATTGGAACACTTGCTGATTTCTCTTCCATATGTTCGTTCTCTCTCTCAGACTCTCTCTTTTCTATCTTTTTTGCGTGTGTGTTTATTTGAGATCTTCTGGGTCAGGTTTCAAGATTTGAATCTCTTATATTGTATGGTGGTTGAGCTACTATAATTAGTTCTGTTCTGGTGAAAGTGTCTTTGCTTCGTTGTTGGCTTTCTCATTTTCAGATTTTCGAACTGCAGAAAATTATGATTTGTGCGACATAACTCTTGTGCTCATTTCGTTCGAGAAAGAAAAACTTGATAATTTCGAAATTCATGCCCATTGCATGTCGGCTACATATATAAAGAGCAAACGATCTTCACTTTTGATATGCCATCATCTGCTTATCTAAAAAATCTACATTGTACTTCTCTATTTTTTCTGCAGTACCTAACTAAGAACACTAAAATTGAAATTTACGTGTTCTGCAACTGTATTTCTTCTTAAATTTTAACACATTTTGCCATTGGATTATTGGAGTGAGGTGCATAATCTTGCACATTTTCATCATGAAGTTTCCTCAAGTTGCCGCCATTGATGATGTATGCTTTAATTGTTGTATATTGATTTAAAAAAGGCTAAATACATAGGCAGCCCTTAAACTTGTCCCTTTTTTTTTTCATCTAGGCACTTTAACTAATCCTATGACCTATTGAGCACTTCATCTCAATTCTAACTGTGTCTATTAAACACTAGAAACTGACATGGCAGAAAGGGTGATTCTCACCTAATCTGAGCGCGTGAACCAGTTAGAAAAGAGAACTGAACTAGTCTTCTTCTTCTTCACCAATCAAGCCATAAACCATTATCTCACACCTCACGACACTTCCCCTCACTATTTACAGAAAAACTCCAATTCTTCTTTAAAAAGACCAATCTGGTCACCTTCTTGATCTCCCTTTTCACAACCAGATTTCCCCGTCCTATTTCCTACTCGAATATCACCATTGATTTTTCTCTTATTGCTCTCAGTTTCTTTTACTGAAAAACGAAAAAATTCTTTCAAAACTTAAAAACCACCATGGATATAACCTCTCTCTCTTCAGTACCATAACTTAACCAAACGATACAGACAAACAGAAACCCAACACACAAAGTTGCATAGAGAAGTCCAAGAATACATCCAACAATAAATAAATAAAGAAAAATGCACCCAACTTTAGAAAGAAGAATTTTCAGATAATCACACTTTTTATTTTCTTAATTGTTGTTGTTCTAGTTAGGGCTAGTGATGTGAGGTCTATTGGTTTATTCCCAAAATGCCACTCTTCTATTATATTAGTCGTTTGATACTAAATATTTACAGGATCAGTATGGGGAAAGAAGACCAACAGAGAAAAAAAATCATAAACTAACATAGTAAGCTATAAGTAATTAAGATTTGGGAACAACTGATTTTTTAGAATAGGAAGATGGACAGGGGAGTACAGTTGGAAAAAAATAGAGTTGCTTTCTCTTTTTTGTTCAACAATTAAAAACATATTTCTTTTTATATTTTTGGAAAGATCTACATGTCTGATAGGCACAATTTGTATAGAGATGGAGGGCTCAATAGGTCATGGAGTTAGTTTAAGTGTCTAGATGAAAAAAAAAAGTTTAAGGGGTTGTCTATGTATTCAGCCATTTAAAAATGCAGTTCCTCTGGACTAATGTACTTGAACAGGCTGAGGCGGAGACAAGATTTCAAGTTTATGGGTTCAGGATTCTAATTGTTTTAAGTTACTGGGTTCTAAACTAATAATTTATACATATTCAATGAATTTTTTAAGACAAATACAGGGTTCAAACCAAAGCTACTGGGTTGGACCGAACCCGATAGCGACACTCTAGCTCCGCCCCTGATTCAGAAAGTTATCACCAATGCAAAATTTTATAAAAGTTAAAGTTCTTTCCACCATTGCAGTGACCAAAAAAAATATCAAATTTAAACAAATAAACAAGTTTCCATATCTCGTGAATATTTATTTTCATTGTTCACTACATAATCAATACTAGATGCATAGAGTTTTCCTTTTTTCTTTTTGCTAATAGAAGGTTATCAGATGATGCAATGTTCCCTCAGTGGCTTAATGACCCCTTTCTGGCCTAAACAAATATTGCTATAAAAAATATATTTTTTTATTTTGAAAAAACTAGTTTGTCGTCAACCATTACAAATTGAACATCTCACTTTAATTTGATTTTGCACAATAAAATAAATAAAAATAAAATAGTTGAAGATTTAAATCACTTAGTGTTTTTGTCAATGAAACTTTTGAAGCCATATATAAATATTATAAAAGATTTATAAAAAATGAAAGAACAAAATCTATGGTCGACCCTCCAATTAATACACAAATCATATTCACGTGGCAAAACTGAGAAAATGTTAAGAGATGAGTCTAAAATTTTAGGGGAAACAGAAAAATACAAATATAAAATGCAACATGAAAAATTCAACCTTTGGAATCAAACAATTTAAAATCAAGTAACATTTACTTAAAAAATCAAAAGATAAAAGAAAGACAAACAAATAAAAGAAGAAAATAAGATAAAATAGCAAGGAAGAACCTTGAAAAAAAATATGACTAGTTGGTACTTTTGATTTTAAACAATGACAAAAACTTTTTAAAACCTTAACTCTTTCCCACACTTTTCTTTTGATTTTGATTGGGGAATAACTCTCTCAAAGAAGTAAAGGACAGCTGGGGCTGTTTTGGAGCTTTTGTCTTTTCTTTTTTTGTCTTAGTAGTAATAAGTTTGTGGATTTTTTCCAAAAAATGAAAAGGAAAACGTTGTTAAAAAGGAAAAAATTTTAACTGCTTCTGGCCAGAAACGAACCCGCGTGTTCCGCGGTAAATGCGGACTCCGAACCCAGAACGATTACCACTGAACCCAGAGCTATTTTGTTACTAGGTTCAGTGTTGTATATTTATATACTTTCAATAAAATTTTCAATATAAATACAGGGTCCGAACAAAAGTCACTGGATTCGCCGGTTCATACTCACTATTGTAGTTCCGCCCCTGTGAACAGGTGTGCAAGGAATGTCATATTGCACGTTTATCTTCAAGGTGCAATTTGAAGAAGAAAGCTAAGTTTAATGTACTTGACATTATTTCCTATTTCTTATGTGTACAATCCATATTTTTTTTGTGTTCATTTTATTTTAATACTGATAGAACTACTGAATTTGTGTATTCGTAAAATCATAGCTATTATATTAGGTATTATTTCTATATGTTATTTATATTTGATTTGGTAGTCAGTCACGTGCATCAACTTCTATTTTCTGCCATTTCATATCAAAACAAGGTTAATAAAAAAAATTAAAATTTTTACCTCCTACGGTAAAGGTATACACCCTATTTATTATAAAATATTATTTTTATTATAAACTAAAATTATTTTAAAATATTATTTTTTATAACTACCTTTTATATTTTATAGCAAAATAAGTATTTATAGTATACACTGCCATTGGTTTTTCTTGGCTTCTTCTATTGATGGCGTATGTTAAAAGACTGAAGAAAGACTTGGTTAAATCTATGAATTTTCTACTTTTCTTGGCCATTCTTCAATGCTATTAGACAAATGTGATTTTAGCATTTTAATTAATTCTAACATGTGCAGTGAAAAAGCAGAGGAGCGAAGAGTGCTGAAGCGGAGGAATAAATGTTAATCTGGGTGTTAGACTTTGTTGATCATGTGAATTTTTTATTTTTCGTTTCAAGCAGAGAATTTTGTGCTAATTAAACTATTTATTTTCATACCCATTGGTTTGATCTAACAGTGCC